GTTCGAATTCCTCTCGTGCGTTGTAGAGAGCCTTTGGCTCGGCTGCGCGGGCGACAGTCTCAGACATGATTTCTTCATACTTGCTGTCGCAATAAGTTGAAATGAAGCTTGAAAACTTTTGGAAGGTCTGGTCCCAGGTGGCGTGGGGAGTTTGCAGACGATGGCCGTAAAGTCCATGAAGATGGTTGATCTTTTCTTGGGAAGGTGCACGAGCAATGTCCTGAGCATAGAGATCCAAAAGGCGATCCCAGACCAAGTGGCTGTTGTTGATTCTCCATTTGGTAGCATCTGCACCCCGCTGCCACACCTCTACGACCGAGTCCCATGTGAACACCTCGCGCCCAACCATGCGGTCCTCTTCGGTCCATTGCGAACTGGCTTCGCCATGAGCCGAATTGTAAAGATAAAGCACCCATTCGCCGTAGATATTCCACAGTTTTGTGCTTCCAAACTCCTCTTCGACGGATCTCTGGCAGAGTTCTAGAACAGCAATGCGCCCGTCGACATCTTGAGCTAACATACTTTCATCCTGAATCCATTCAGCCCAAAGATCTTCTCCCATGGCGAAAAGCTTGTCCATTTCTTCACGTGCCGTTTTCAAATCGTTGAGTAGATCATAACGTCGTGGGTCGCCGTGGACCTCTGGGTTATTCGGTGGGTAGACGTGGTTGACAAATCCTGCATGCAGTAATCCGATAAATTGCACGTGCGCGTCATGCGTGTGGGGGTTGAGTGAAATTTGATGAAAAAGCTCGGTCGCCGACCGTTGTGCATCCGGGTCAAGCGAAGTCGCGGCGTAGGTCCTCTTCGCGGGCCCATCACGCCCTTCCGACATGGCGATCTCGAACGATATCCGAGAGGTAGGAGTGTTGTGGGTGATAGAATTGACGTGTGGGTGGATAGTAGATGGAGATAACTGGTGCTCATAGGATTCGGTACTCCGGAGCATGCTTGTCGGTGTGGGACGTTGTGGCTGGTGGTGCTGCATCGAGGCGAGATCCGCCAAAGTGTCCATTCCCGGCGTGGATGCTTGTCTTGGGGGTACTTCAGTTGGAGAAGACCCATTCCCTCCGCTGGGTCCTGGCGAAGATTCTCCAGTAGGAGCGTACACCTGCTGTGCGAGAGGCGAAGAAATCTTGCCCTTTCGTCTAGAGCCAGTCCGAGTTCTCTCGATAGCTTTGTGGGGGGATGGCCCTACAGAGGTAGCCGGTGCGTTGTTCGACGTAGGACCAGACGCGGGCGTGGAATTTCCAGACTTGGGATTCGAGTCCGGCGAAAGAAGCGAATTGATGTCCATTTTTGGATACAGCTTCGGGAAGAACGATGGGATACCGGAAATGTCGTAACGGATACCCAGATGCTTTTCAAGCAGAGATCCAGATCATACGACAGTCTTGATGTTCCTCAACACGTCCATTCCTGCATCGGCCGGTCGTATCCAGATACCCCCTCGTTGTTGTTCCTGCAAATGACGTAGATATACACTTGCGCAGCTGCTTTTGGCGGGTGGCTAAGAGTCTAAAGGAATGCCTGGAAGGAAAGAGAGCGCTTTAATCGAGAGGGCAAGCAGAAATCTCAGAGATCTCAGGTATTGGAACGGGATAGCAAGGACAGGCTGATGATCTGGGAAGGGAAAGGAGGGATGAAGGAAGACGAAAAAGAGAAAGAACTGAAAGAGGGAAAGATAGAGGGCTAGTGGATACTGTGGAGATGGTTGAGAAGAAGAAACGATACTGTCGCGAGAACGAAATTCGAATATGACCTTCAAATATACAAGATCAACTCCATCTGCAGATAAGCCTGTTCTTGCTCTATAGCCTCGTGCAGTCGCAAGTCGCATCTCTTGAAGCTATTCTGATCGATCAACTCAAGGTGCCTCAGGCTCCGGTATCCCGCACAGACCACAAGCGCAGGGAACTTTCACCTTTTTTCCCGACGTGAACTTCTGACAACAACATCCCAACAGCCACAATGGTCTATCCCTCAGGGCAATTGGTCCGGACAGGTATTTTGTATTCATATATCTTATTCATGGCCTCCATACTGACTTATTTCCCCACCTTTAGCTGCCCGGACCGTCTCCTTCGTCCCTCGCCGAACATTGACCTCGACGGCCATCCGTTACGCTTTGAACGATGGCGAAAGCAAAAAGCCGACCGGTTTGTTTTCTTCCTTGAAGAACATGTTTTCGGGAGGATCCAGCCAAAAACACAAAGTCGCCCACCGACCCTCGGCCCCTAAGAAGGAAGATGGTTTAGGCACCTCCATCTTCGGATCAGACTTCACCGCACCAACAACCGGACCTATGCCATCCCGGCCAACGGGGGAACAACAAAAAGAAAGCATCTCCGGAAAGTTGGAGGACCGCGACTTGAGTCGCCTCCAAGTGGGACTGGGTCCCGACCCAAAGGCCCAGTTGCGATGGGAGAGGAAGATGGCTGTCCGCGAGGTCCGGAAACGAGGCCGCGTACCGACAAAGGTGCAAATTAAGCGCACAGAGCGCGAATCACTTTCTAAATCTCACTGGATCAAGACGTCCCTGAAGAAGCTGGGTCCTCTGGCCCGCCAAATCGCCGGCAAGAATATCGACGAAGCCATCCTCCAGATGCGCTTCAGCAACAAAAAGGCCGCCAAGGACGTACTGGAACACCTGGAACACGCAAAGAACGTTGCCATTGTCCGTGCCGGCATGGGCCTTGGGGCCTCAAACTCCGAACCATCGAAACCCATTACTGTCATTCTCAAGACTGGCGAGCGACAGAAGATTGCCAACCCCACTGACATCTACATTCAAGAGGCCTGGGTCAACCGCGGTCCCTATGGATATGAGATGGATCACCGTGCCCGTGGTCAGATCAACCGCATGCGTCCCCCTACCACGAGTCTCTCAGTCCTGTTGAAGGAAGAGAAGACTCGTATCCGCGAGTGGGAGGACCGTGAGGCCAAGGCCCAGCGGGAGCGCAGGTCTCAGCTCTGGACACAACTGCCGGATCGCAAGGTCTCTGCGCAGAACCAGTACTACAGTTGGTGATCAATGCTTTGGAGTTTGTATTATTTATATCTAGATCTTTCGCGTGGACAGTGGTTTTTCATTAGCCGATTGGAGGCGACAATTGCATTTGTGAGAAGTCGCTCTCATCTTTCTTGAGTACGAGCGACTCATGTACAATACTGAATCAATTTCTTGGATATCAAACCATTGAGACCGGCTGTATACCTCTTAATATTCAAATGTTTATCAACCCTCCGGCCATTTCAGGTATATACTTGTTGCAATCCTCGAAGTTGACTACTGAATCATGGGAGCTCTACAATGTGTGCAACTCTTGCTGCGACGGGGCCCCCTTTTCCACCGAAACGAGCACGGGAATCACCGCACCAGTCGCCAAGGCAAAGCGGCGATGGCCCAAAACTTCCAGAATGCTAGTGATGGCACCTGAGTGGGCCGTTAGTGAAATATATGTACTTTCATCGTGGGCAAATATATCGTTCAAAAGACCGCGAAGCCGATCGTTGCGGTGCTCGTTTGACTCGCGGACCTTAGGATCCCACAACTTGTCGTCCTCGGAGAATCCTGCTTCGAACTGGTACTCCGGGTACTCTTTTGCGATTTTCGAGGCCGTTGAGCGACGGTCACAAGTGTGCTGACCCATTGTCTCACGGAGGAGCTAATCGGGTTAAACATTGTAGGTTATATAGTAGAAATCAAACACACCTCTTTAATGGTCGGCTTAAAAGGATCCGTGTTAGGGATCGCAAGTCCCTGAAACGTAATCTGCGCCGTTTCAAGGCACCGGTTCAGGGGGCTCACGTAGTAGGACTCGGGTGACGGGATGCCAGCCTCGATCTGCTGTTTCCAAGCTGAATGTGCAACTTGTGCCTGGCATCTGCCCTGTTCAGTAAGACGAGCATCGACCCAGTTGCCGTCCTCGTCTCCGTCTTGGAGAGACCAGTAATCCTAGAGGTCTAATTAGTGTCTAGTTCATAGAGGAAATGCTCAGCCGCTTACATCCCACTTCTTCGTGCCATACTTGCGCTCAGCAACGTTGTGGACACCCTCGCCGTGCCGTCCAAGAAAGATTACTTTGAGCTTTTTAGTCTCGCTGGCGTTCAGGCGTTGGATGTGGGCGTCAAACCGCCGCCACTGGCTGTCAGCCTGGCCCACTCCGAGGTGTTCATCGTAGTCTTTTTCGATGAGTCCGAAGTTTGATTTCACCTTTCCAGATTATCAGACAATTGTTTGATGGTTTGAACAAGGATATTGGGGTCTCTTACGTAGTCGAAGGTGTCGGGGTCAGTGGCGGGGTCATCCTGGCGGAAATATCCCGTCACTACAGCGAAGCGTAGCAGCGGAGAATCCATATTTTTGAAGTTGAATCAAAGTACAAGTGTTGGCTTGAACCGTAAGAGAACAAGGGAAAAGGGTTGGTTGGGGTGGGATTTAGGGAGGTTTAGGGCTGAGGTGGTGGAGACGGCAAAACGTGCAACCTGATTCATGAAAGATGTTCACTATTGAAGTCATTCTTGGAAATTACTCCGATACTATGTTCCTTGGATATGAGAGATTTTGAAATACTTTCGATTGTGTATACATATCGGTTTCCATCTATTGGGAGCTCCGAGAAGGAAGCTATGCCTATAATTAGTTGTAGGTCGGCATAGGGCTCTCTATATGAATGCTCAACCCTAGTTATCTACCAAGTACCGTGCCTTTGGTTTCTATAAAAGCGTCCGTGTCTTCACGACATTGGTTGCTGCTGTTGAAACCATATATAGTTGTTGCGTCTTCTATTTTATTACTTTGAACATACACGGTTTGGTGGATATTAAACGCAAATGAATATCATATTTAATCATGAGGGACCATTGAATGTGACAATAGATGTCACCCATGTATGGCCTTTGAAATTAAGTATCGCCCAGAGCCAGCTCAGCCAATTATCAAAAGTTGATACATCCAGTGCCGAACGAACAGACCCGGCGATTCGAAAACAAGCGGGTCAGCCCAGGCGCCAGAGTCCACCCATATATAAGCTTTTCTTTGTAGACACGATATGTCGGCCAAAGAGAGACAGACTTTTGCAGACCATGCCCTCAAGCCCGGAGGCTATGGACATCGATGATTGCCAGGCACCAGCAAATGCCAAGGCAGTACTGGAAAGCAGGCGGCCAACACTTTCAACAACGGGCGCAACAAGGAGACTTTTTCTACTGATGAGCAGTGGCCAATTCTCGGTGTTATCCCGTAATCCGTTTCCAACGAGATTTGGTGACCCACGGCGAGCCGGCGATACCAGTAGCTCCTTTGGCACAGACTGCAAACCAGAGAGTATTGCAAGTTGCTTAGCAAGTTTCTCTGAAACTCCTTTATTATCTGGCCCGGGTACCTGGATTCCAGAGTTGCGCACGAGCGACGTGGAATGGCGCATTCCAAGGTTGCCAGCAGTAGTACCTGGCACCACAGAAACTTCTGTGGTCCGGGTGGACCTTGTTCGGTGCACATCCAGACCTGGATTGTGACAGACGTCGGTAGTCGGATAGTTCGCTGAGGATGCCGTCTTGACGTCGGCCCTCTCTGAACTTACAACGCCAACCGACGAGGTCGAAACGCGCCAGCGCAAGCTCGAGCTGCCAGATGGCAGCCCAGCTGCGTGAACCGGCCGAGGTGTACCTGAACTGCATGTATCGTGGGGTTGTCCACTTGCTGCATTCTTCGAGATCCTCTCTTGTGTGTAGAGTATCTCGTGTCCAGCGGATGAGTGGTTTGCGATGTTCGTGCCAGATAGAAGTATGTCGTGTCCTGCAGCCTGGCCCTTCGCAGCGCTTCTCCTCGATGGTACAACGATGTCTTGACATGACACGTTCTTGGAATCTGGCTTGCCAGATAAGAGAACAATGTCGTGTCCCGGCGGAGTGCTCTTTTGAGTATTCGACCTGATAATCTGCTTGGTGATTGGCACTGCCACAGGCAGTCCCATAGATGGGTCAATCCCAGATGAGCTGCTTGTGGGTTTCCTGATCGCCTTGATCATTGGAAGCACTTGAGACGAGTTGAATGATGTGTCGTGACCCGGCGAGTCCGAGTAGCGTGCCTCTTGGATTGGCACTTGGAGCATCGGTGGCCTCGGCCTTTCTTGAAGTGCGACGTTCATTGGAACGTCGCTAGCAGCGGCACGAGCAGCAGCCTTCTCCAGGCAGTTGCACTACTCGAACGTTAGCGTGCTCAAATGTTCAATGTGAATGGAAAACTTACTCGCTTGTGCTGCTTCTTGTGTTTCTCACAAGCACCATACTTCCGAGCCTTGATGTAGTTCTCCTTCTGTGCCTGGGAGCGAGGCTTCTGTTTCTTGGGCACATTGGCTGCGGTGTTCATATTCAAGTCGAGAACCATCTCCATGCCTCCTGGAGGGGGTGCCTCGGAGACAGATGTGTTCTCTGAGCTAGGACGCGGAGAGATGCTCCCGCGAACGTATTCTGACCAGCTTGGTGATGAGAAGCTGGTGTTGGAGTCCGAGGACATATCTAGGTCTAGGGCAGTGGCATCGCAAAGGCGCTGCAGGTGCAGCGCAATCGCTGCCTCACGGCGCTTCTCCTTTATACTAGCAACACGCGGGTCGGCAGCGGCCTGCGCCTCAACCAAGTTCCGGAACGTGTTGCTGCTGTCGTATGGGTTGTACCCCAAGAATGCAGCATCATCGAACAAAGGAGCAGCCGGGTCTTGCATGAAACCTCCATTCATTCCCATGAACTCTTCTTGTGGGGTATCATAGCTAGTCATGTCGAAGGGGGATTGCATGAAATCAGACGGAGAGGTGAAGATCCCATCTGCCTCATAAGGCAGAGCCAAGTCCTGGGGTGAGACGGTGGTGGCGGTCGACTGGTCGTCGTAGCCTAGAGGGAGATCGAGGAATTGATCGAAGTCAACCCATTCATTGAGGGTTGTCGCATCCATGTCGGGGAAGAATTGATCCGCAACAAAAGCCATTGGAAAGTAAAACAAAGAGTGGGTATCACTAGGGGTATCTATTTATGAAAAGATGAGGAACACAAAGTCAAAGAGAGAAGGGGCCGTTTTAGTTAGGCCAACGCTGGAGATCCTGAGGCAGTAGGATACTAGAATAGCGAGGAAGTCGTGAAAAAAGATAAAAGGACAATAGCTGGCTTCCGGGGAAGGTGAAGAACCCAAGACCTGAGGCAACCGTTGGTTCTATGTATGCTCTGTCTCTCTTAGTCCGCCATTCCTCTTCGGGGTCCCCGACTTGACGCTAATCCTCTTTGGGACCCCGACACCCCGCTCGATCGCTCTAAGCCGCAGTATGACTCAAAGCACATACTCCCGGGGTACTTCAAAAGCTATACGATTTACTATGGATATCTAGGTACCTACAAAGTATCTTTTGGTAGAAGAAAATTCCATGTGCTGGCCTCTTTATAGTATAAAACTTCTTGGAATTTTCTATGATGTAAATGTACTAACTCGAAAAGTTCCACTCTTCACAATACGGAGTTATTTCTTTGCCCTTTTCAGAATTGCTCAAGATTGAGAGGCTGTGTTGCACAGCCCGGCTAGATTTGTACTAAAAGCATACACGGAGATAATATAGCCGGCACGTTATATCTACAAACCCGACACATGTTGTAGTTATATAGTCGGCTTAGGATCCAAGAAAACCACCATGCATTATTATATATCTGGGCAATGGGAAAATAATAAATAATCTCGATCAATTGACTTTAAGCCACAGTCTTGAAGGGTCTGGTTGACCCACTGCTTCTGACATGACACGGCTTTTCTCGGAGCTCCGGCGAGGATTCTTTTTCTTTTTTTTATATAAAAAAGAAGCTTTATTCATTAGCTCTAGCTAGGTGATCTCCTATTCATATACACAGACCAACCTTTGATCTGGGATAAGATAGACTGCATTAGGGCTAATATAAGGATATAAAAATATAGTGTCATATTGATCGACAAAGCTTGGCTGATATAGGATGTCTAGGTGACCTTGGGATGTTCCCAAGTATTACAGTAACTGAAAAAAGAAGCATATATTTTATGTATATCACCTGTATAAAAACTGTGCTCTTTTGTGACATCCGCGGATGTATTATGGTACACAGTATATATGATGTATGGCGCCAGTGCCCACCTTGAAGTAGCTTAGGTAAGGTCTAGAACTCCCGCAATCCATATTCCTAAACGAGGGTGATCGAGAATCTTCCTTTCCCCAGATCTTATTGATCTTCCTATTTTATTATTGATACGAAAGAATTCCCCAACCTCTTCCATTTTTGGTTCTTCACTTCTTCCGCTTACCCCTGACAAGCAAATCTACCCCTCCATCCCCCCCGCCGACAAACAGCTGTCCAGCTCCACTCTCGGTTCTGTTGTGGGGAGGGTCGAGACTGATCAACTGATTGGCGCCTGGCAAATGTTTTGAGAGAAAAAATAGAAAAAAAGCCCCTACTTTACCACGGTCTGTACAGTCAGCAGGCCCGGACCGCTGAACCGTCTGGAAAATCAATCACGTCACGTTGTCATTCTTCCCGACCATGGCCGCTGCATTCGATGAGGAAGACCTCGCTATCCCCCTCCCCTCCGACCGTGATCGTCCACGCGAACGTGCCAGGCCTCCCACCTCCAACCACTCCGCCATGGCGATGCCCCCGCCCTCGCGGCCGACCGGCAAGGCCGAGGATCCATTGCAGTCACCATCGACTACCCGAGACATGCAACGCCTCGATCAATACCAGACTATAAGGGTGTTGGGCGAGGGTTCCTTTGGCAAGGTAAAACTTGCTATTCACCAGCCAAGTGGACGTCAAGTTGCTCTGAAGATCATCTCACGACGCAAACTACTCTCCCGAGACATGGTTGGGCGGGTGGAGCGAGAAATCCAGTACTTGCAATTGCTACGACACCCTCACATCATTAAACTGTACAATTTCCATCCAAAATTCAATTGGGGTTTCAGTTGGCTAACCAATTATATATTAGGTACACGGTGATTGCGACCAAGTCCGATATTGTGATGGTCCTGGAGTACGCAGAGCGAGAGTTGTTTGATTATCTAGTGAGGAAGGGAAGATGCGGTGACGACGAAGCCCGGAAATTCTTCCAACAGATAATTTGTGCGGTGGAATACTGCCACCGACATAAGATTGTACACCGTGACTTGAAACCCGAGAACCTGCTCATCGACAACCAAAAGAACGTTAAGATTGCGGATTTCGGTTTGAGTAATATTATGACAGATGGCAACTTCCTCAAGACCAGCTGCGGTAGCCCGAACTACGCTGCTCCAGAAGTCATCTCCGGGAAGCTCTACGCCGGCCCCGAGGTCGATGTATGGAGTTGTGGTGTGATTCTGTATGTGTTGTTGGTAGGCCGATTGCCTTTCGACGATGACTATATTCCAGCCCTTTTCAAGAAGATTGCAGCCGGCACCTTCCACATACCTGGATATATCTCATCCGGGGCAGCTCGTTTGATCCGGGCAATGCTCCAAGTTCACCCCGTCCACCGCATTACAATCCCTGAGATCAGATTGGACCCATGGTTCACCAAAAATCTCCCCCAGTACCTAGAACCGCCACGAGAGGAGTTCATCGCCCCAGGGGCGGACTCGAAGAAGGTTGATTCCGCAAAGCTTGACGTGGCAAAGCCTCCACCAGTCCAGCATAAAATCCATCGAATTGCAGTTTCTAAGCTCGAACGAAGCATGGGATATGGCCGAGAGGATATTGAAGAGGCACTGAGACACCCGGAACCCAGTGCGATCAAGGATGCCTTCTCCATCGTTGTTGAGAATGAGATGATGCAAACCAATTGTAAGAACTGAAATACTTAATTCAACTACCTCTCCGCTAACGAAAACAGCACCCACGGAAGATAATTTGTTAGCTCAAAATGTCCAGAAAGGAGCTGCGCCTTCATCTGCGGATCGGACTCCTGCGCCTCGTCATCAAGGGTCACCTGCCCCCACCATGAACAGGACCGTTAGTGCATCGCGCCGGAGGACATCGGAAGATCCTCAGCAATCAGAATCCGAAGAAGAACCACGCGTTAGCCACGTCCGGATCCTCCCTACTAGCTTGCCATATGTTCACGACCAACTCATGGAACAACGTGATCGAGATAAAAGAGCTCGCAACGAAATGCTCGAGCAGCGTCGCCAAGAAGCCGCTCAACTTAACCCAGAGGGACATGGATCTGCCTATCGGGACATGTCTCCTGAAGAACAGGCCGCCACAGCCCGTGCATTGAAGCCCCACGCACGCAGTGTCGTCGACTTCGACAAGTTACGATTCGAGCCGCCAACCGGTCAACCCCTCGAAAAACAGCCAAAACGGAGCCGCAAATGGCAGTTTGGTATTCGATCCCGAAACCAGCCATATGAGGCCATACTGTATCTGTACCGGGCAATTGCTGCCCAGGGTGGATTGTGGGATATTCAACCCGTGGAATCAGGTATGTTTTCCACTTATTACCCGTTTCGAGCTCATTCTTACATTCTCTAGGCACCAACATCGGCCCCGATGCGACTCCCTCCCCTGATAAACCCAAACCCTTGCAGAGCAAATATCCCGACCTCCCATCCGACTACTATATTCCCAAGGATCCATGGTTTATCCGTGCACGTCTGCTGAAAGAAGGCATCAAACCCCCTGGGGCCTCCACTAGTGTTTACAATAGCCGCAGCGACCTCGAAGAGCTGCGCCGCCGCTTCAACATCTCGGGGATCTCTGCCCCAACAGAAGACAAGACCCGAGACCCCCAGTCCTCCGTACCCGACAGCGGTCTCACGAGCGGGGCCTCCTCGGTTAACGGACCAAGCGGACTCCCGCACATCACCTACGGTGTCTGGGTCTTCCTCGACATCCAGCTTTACCAACTCGAAGAAAACAACTACATGGTTGACTTCAAATGTGATGGCTACCAGAACGTGATCCGCACCGAGGGCGATACCGAATGGCATCCCATTAGCAAGCGCTTCAAGAACAAGGAGAAGGAGGTGACCAGCCCTTACCCCTTCCTTGATGTGGCGTCTGATCTCGTCGCCCAGCTGGCTGTGGCAAGCTAGACCAGTCTGTTTATCTGAGAGCTGGATTTGGCTTTTGTTCATACAAAACTACCATGATAATTATCATACATTAATTTCTTATTCATATTGCTTGGGTGGTTGCATAGGAGCTTTTTTTGTTTCTGCTGCATTTCGGTGTCTTTCCAGCAAGCGAGTCGTATTGTTGTGGGTTCTATCTACGTTGTACCTAATGTAGGTACGGAGTATGTGTCTGATTTCTTTTTCTTCTTTTTTTCCCCTTTCGCATGTAAATATTCGTTCAATTAACTTTTTTATTGCTTAACTGAGTACATAAATACATAGGAACTGAGTCTTCTGATGAAACTAAAAATGGAATTTGAGACGACAAATTTACGAATGTCGTTGAAATAGCCTCAAACCGCCAAAGGCACTCCCATGGATCAGCGTAACACTATATGTTTATCTATAAATAATCAAGACAGCCAGTTATTGACCAAGTCTTACAGGGCAATGAAACTGAATCAATTGCATTGAGTACAGTGCTATCATAGTCTACATAGCCATATCTGCTGACTGAACCAGAACTATTCCGCTCTCCAGCACCGTGGCATATGTATGTGTTTGTGTATGTTTTTGGATTTTCTTACTCCTATTTTCCAAGGCTGCGCCACAGTCTTCATAAAACCATCAGGCAGACTCTTGAAGGGTCCGTATCTGAAACACAATGAACAATCGGTTGAGGTTACCTCTAGGGGAACATGGTCTGATACCAATGTACACCAGCATCGACAGGAAGCCAAATCCGAAGTCATGGCTAGCAAGGTAAATCCAAGTGAGCGCGGCACGGCCATGAATATCTTTGTTCGCAAGCCACGGGAGTGGGCTGCAGGTTAACGGATTTGCTTGACATGAGAGATCACTGTGACATTATTTTTTGGGAGGAGTCTGTTGGCATGAAATGGTGCCGTAGATAGCAATACATTTTCCCCATTTTCCACATTTTTTCAGACTTCAATTGTTCTTCCACGAGTTTTCCCATGGTAGCTGATGCGTGTAGTCCAGGGAGATAGAGATTACTTGAGTGTATTGTGATTATCTCTTTTTTTCCAATCAGTTTGAAGGTTCCCATTCTTTTTCTGTTCGTGACTTGATGTCAACGAGTCCATCCGGTATTCCCATCAACTCGGCTTCTCACCTGGGCAATGGAACGTGCTGGCCAGGAAATAATCTGTCAATTGGAATTTCTTCTTTTTTTTCTTTTTTTTTCGCATTTCGTTTTCCATCTTTTTTGTTCTTTTTGATGTATTCATTGGCTCATATGAACGGAGCACAGACTTAAGCGATAGTAAGACGGCAGATTGGGCGAGTAGATGGGAAGCTATTTATCACCATCCTTGCCGTGTTTCTTGATAGAAGCCTGCCCAGGAACACGGTCTATGGCCTTAATATAGACCCGTTCGCTACGTCGTCGCTGGCTCTCAGACTGGCCACGGTTTGTCCCAGCCCTACCGATGTGAGGTTGCATTAGTGAGAGATTGGCCCCAGTAATCTCAATGGACTCGGAGCTTTGGTCATCACAGCGCGGAGTTGTGTTATTACTCGCAGAATCACCGTTTGTCGGATGAGTTGATTCGGTCCGAGCATTGGTGTCACGGGTATCCTGTACTTCTCCAATGATATGCCCCCCTCCAGAAATTATCTGTTCCGACTCATAGCCTTTGCTATCCCCTTCATTCATGGGATAGTTAGTGGCCGATCGCTGCCGTAGAGCAGCCTCCTTGACCCACGGCTTGAAATGAGGGAGGATTTCAACATCGGGGAAACGAACAGTGCTGGCACGCACGCGTAGGGGATCCCGGTTTGTGGGTTTGGCGACACGTCCCTTTCGGCCGTGAGAGGGCGCACCCCGATGAGGGCTTCCTAGTGCACTCGGTGACTTGGGAATGTGATTGAGCTGTTGTTGTTGAGCTCTTTCCTGGTTTCGCAGCCTGACCATGTGGTCACGCACAAGTTCGATTATCTGGCGGATTTCTCGAAATGTCTTGCCGTGACCGACATGTTGGCGAAGCCAGTCCGGGACCGGGGCGATGATGGCAGTCGGATGCTTACGGCCTGGACCTCGAGGAACGATGCCAGAAGACTGGTCTTGGTCTTGGGCTTGGCTGGTAGAGGGAGTCTTCTCCTTCTGGCTGGGGATCTCGTTGGTGGGTGCGCCTTCGGTTTCACGGCCGACGCGCATTTGTTCTCGGCGGCGGAGGATGAGTTCGAAACTCTCCACTCCATCCCAGTTCTCCATTCGGCTCAGGGATTCTAACAGGAGGTCACATTGCGTAAACGGCCATTGGTCTGCACGATACCGGGCACGCTGATAGTGCTTTCGGCAATAATGGACCCAGACTCCGAGTGGGAACAGCTTGGTAACAGCCTTGTTTCTGCCAAACACATGCGACACAACCTTTCGGTAGTGCATTCCATCGGGCGAGGGATGCATGCGGCATGGGGCAGCAAATTCACATAAGTGATCCTCGTTGTTTTCATTGGTGTCCTTGGTACCCTCCCCTTGATTGTTGGCCAGTTCTCGGCCGGGTCCCGGGCCACATCCCTGCACTTGTTGCTCCTTGCCGTGGTGGTATTCATACAAGTTGCCGTTATCGAGAAGGTAAGTTTGTCCAGTAGAGTCTCCTGTATAGTCTAGAGCACCACCATGACGACCACGCTGAATGTTGCTCGGAGATAGTGTTGGGGAGGAGCTAGGTAGACTTTGAGGCATCAGGTCATTGATTCCGGGTGGGACATACATCTCCCGAGGATAGTGATTGAATCCCATAAACGGACTTTGTGGTAGTTCTCGGGAGCCAGGATGGTCAGTGAGTTGGGTCGGGCGGCGAGGACTTCTGCTGCGAGCCCGTTCTTGTGTTGGTGCATGATCAGTTCGTTCCAGTCTATCCCGGTATGGGTTGGCGCAGTCTGCAGCACTCCTGAGCTCTGCTCCGCGGTTGGGGTCATATACATGAGATGATCCATTCATGCTGGTGAAACTGGGACCTGGTGACAGTGCTGTGCTGTATTCCTGGAGGGGACTGGAATCCATTGTTTCCAGAGGTATCAACGGTGAAGTAAGTGGGGGTGAGAGAAGAAGCGACAGAGGTGGGTTTCCCTGGTGGATCGTTTGAGTAGACCTGCGGGAGCTAATATTTCGATTAGCTGACATTCTCACAAAATACGATGCTCTTGACACCCAAGACGGGCTTGTATCCCGAATCCCAGCTTATGGGTAGTGAGCAAGGAAGGGGAACACAAAGAAATAGTAAAAGGCTGAACAAAAGGTAGGACTCCAGATATAATATGCTTTGATGCCAGGAAGATTGCGACCCTATGGACTGACTATATCATACACTTACGTCGAAACCTGTTGGTCGGCACGGGCCGTGTTGCTAGGTCTAAGTTCTATACGTTAGCATTTGATCTCAAGACGAACGAAAAGGATGTGCACATCAAAAAGTCACGGGGAAGGGTGAGCGAGGCTTAGTAGATTCGGGGGAGGTTGTGTATATATACATTTTCATGTCCTCCTCCGGGAGGTGATCCCGATCACCTGGGACATCAGGGCCCTGGTACTGCATGCTGGAAGATATGATGCAAGAGAAGATGGGGATAATGGAAGATGGGAAAGTACGTCCTTGATAACGGACGTACCTGGGTAATGATGAATGTTGATAGTAAAGCCCGTTGTCGATGATGCACGAGCTATCTGATAGTGTAAAAGGCTTCAGGTGTTGGGTGAAAGTGGAAGGTAAAACAGTGCGAGGATAGGACAGGGGAGGAAGAGGAGTACTAGAATAGGATGGGCTTTTATAAGTTTGTAGGAATTTACCTACAATGTTTGTACTTTATCGAGTTCAGATGCCTTTTTCCCTTTGTTGGATATTTGGATATCGCCATGCCAACATCTACAGTATGAGTTTGCGCATCGTGGTGCTATTTAGTAACCAGATAACAAGGATTGGAATAGCCGAGTCTGTAGAACTGATTTATTAAGTTGGGAGTAGTGCTTATATCGACGGAGACATGATACGAGATCTTTTAAATTCAATAGGAATCACCAGATTCTAGAGTGTAGGAGTAATGAGGTTGTTGGCTCACAGCATGAGCGTTATATCTTCTTATACGACAACATGTCGTGAAGAGACAACCATCGACAGCCACTTAGGTAGAGCTAGCAGGGCGGAATAAAATCCACTGCGGAAACTGGAGATCAGGAACCCTTAGATAGGCAACGCTGAGGACTAATGTCAGACCACTGAGCAACTACATCAATGAGCTTGTCAAACTTAGTCTCAAGTCTATGGAGGCAACCTCGGGGCCATCTTGTAAAAGTTAAGGTGTCATTTTAAGGTATCATTGCTTATTCTTGTTATGTGTACATGATCCAAAAAAAAACTATATCCCCGTAAATCAAATCCACAACGCCATCTTTGCCGGATATCAAGAGCAGTGCAGTCTGGAACCAAAAATTGAAAAGAATCGGGGAAATATGCTTACCAAGGGCCCATAATAAACATAGCAGTACGTAAGTCATCCATAAATGTAAAAAGAAAGTCATTTTACCTGGCATAGCCTATCGACGCTGGTTGCCTTGGTACGTACTTTCGAACCGCCCCCCGGCCAGGGCTGCACGCCGCAGAGCCAATGTCAATCGTACTCAGCTCTCGACTCAGGGCATCCATGCGGCCATTTCCATTTGCATTGCCAGACATGACGGGGTAGCTTGGACTTCCTCCGGTGATTGGAACCTTGTTTGGAATCGGGGGACCTGGGCTGTAGTCATACAGTGGCGTACGAGAACCCGGAGAGGGCGAGACAGAGCCTCGGGAAGAGCGCGGCCGCTCAGTCGAAGTGGGGGTGTTGTAGGCTCGACTTTGCACGTAGCTATTAGAGCGCTCACGCGCGTAGTCCGGACGAGGTGGTGTTCGAACCATTGCCCCTGGACTTGCGTGCACATGGGTGGGTGTATATTGAACTGGGCGATCCGACGGGTAGGTAGTGGTTTCTGTTCTAAATCCGACGCGTGGCGGGCCTGTGCTGCGTGATGAGGGAGCATCGTTTCCTCTAGAAGTTGGCCGAGGCGAGTGTTTGAAGCGGATGATAACCTCTGGCTTGCGGTTCTTCCTCTCTGGTTCAGGCGCCCATGTATCGGTGGGAAGATGGTCAGAGGGGTCAATCTCACGACCATCATCCCCGATAATTGGGTGATCTACGTCTCGATGGGGCTCAGTCTTTCCGCGTATCACGGCATCTCTGGCTTGCGAAGGCGAGTCGTATGCCGGGGAAGGATCTCGGCCGGGAGCGTGGGAGGCATTTGGATTTAGAGAGATGTAAGAGTCTGGTGAGAAAGGGATTGAAGAGCCACCGCGGACGTCTGAAGAAGAGGGCCGCGGACTGACCGACTTCCGGGTCACGGCCCGCATATTAGGACTGACAGATCCACCTCTGCTAGAAGTTGGTCTTTGTTCAATAGGCTGGGGCGATGTTCGCAGGGGATAGACAGGAGCATCGTAGTGAACAGGTGCCGATACAGGAACTGGTGCAGGCGGCTGGGAAATCATCATCTCATCGTCCCAGTGGGTGCTGCGTCTGTTGACTGATCGCTCGAGTGCTACTCTCTCAGATGAGTCTTCCGGTTCATAACCTGCGACAAGGCTTGCGGGCATTGCTGTGGAGTTTCCCATTGAAGAGGGCTCCTGATAGCGATCGCGGTGGGACGGGGTAGGCATGTTCGATGGCACGTGGGGGACTGAAGATCGAGCAGTCGATTGGGGTGTATAGGGTGCATAGGGGCGGGGCGACGTTTTCGGTGTGGGCAGCAGAGAGTGCGGCCTTCGTGATCGGTGTGCCGGTGGAGGAGGGGGCGGTCCGTCATCATCTTCATCCTCTACTCGTGGTTGCATTCCGGCGTACTCTGGGTGGTAATCATGACCATGAGCAGTGATTTGTAGAGGCCGAACTCTGTGTGGATGGTACCTCGGGTCATCCACTGGCCCTAAAGAGGAAGGCAGAAAGCCCGAAGCTGGCACCTCGTATGTATGCGTTGCCTCATATGGCATGGGATCTGGATCGTATCGAGGTTGCTCTATTTGAGCATAGAGACTTTGACGTGTAGAATTGTATGGCACTTCCTGATGGAGATCTGCCTCGTACTGGTTTTGTCTGGCGAGGCGATAGTCTCTCGAAGGCGGCTGATCATACTCGGGATGATGCTGCAGTTGTTGTTGTTGTTGTTGTTGTTGTTGTTGTTTCTGCTGCTGCAGTTGCAGTTGCAGTTGTTCCAGTTGTTGTTGTTCCAATTGTTGTTGTTGTTGTTGTTCCAGTTGTTGCTGCTCCAGTTGTTGTTGTTCCAGTTGTTGTTGCCGCTGGAGTTCTTGTTGCTGTTGGAGTTCTTGTTGCCGCTGGAGTTCTTGTTGCCGCTGCAGTTCTTGTTGCCGCTGCAGTTCTTGTTGTCGCTGCAGTTCTTGTTGTCGCTGCAGTTCTTGTTGTCGCTGCAGTTCTTGTTGTCGCTGCAGTTCTTGTTCTTGCTGCTGCTGCTGCTGCAATAAACGCGAGTCATATGAGGTTTCAATAACTTCATTGGAGGCATAAGGCAGTTCATGGGTGGTTTGTCGGCGGAGAGGAGCAACAACTGCAGTGTCCCATTCTTGAGTGTAGTTATCGGCACCGTCATACCCGCCCCGGGAGGGAGGTGGGACAGGAGAAGGTGCGCGATAAGATGATGCATCGTATACAGGCTCTGATTGTCTTGGGGCATAGGGGATGGTGTCTGGAGCACTAGGTAGGGTGTTTGAATGTTCAGGAAGGGCAGGTCTCGACGGGGCCGGGTGGTGAAGTGGAGGCGCAGAGTGAGCTTGTTCCAGAGGAGCTGGTCTTGGCGGGGGCCCTGCAGGGCCGCTGGGCAAGGGTCGTCGCTTGACATCTTTCAATTGTCGGGGACCAGATAAACCCGTGTTGCTCGGAGTACTAGGGACTTTGCCTTGGACCCGGTCAGCGGCTTCTTGTCGGCGTCCAATCAGGACCTCGTCTTGTTCTCTGGTGTCGTAGTAAGTCATTTCCATTCGGATATCCCCTGCATATTTCCCACGGTACTGAAGTGGGTGCCAGTGATCATTCTGGCTACCGCCTGGGATGATCAAGCTTTGTAAATCGATCCAGGTCTCGCCGATCAAGTCGGTCTTCTTATCGTCATTGAACACAGAGACCTTGAGCTTGAAGTAATCGGGGGATTCATGCACAGTAAATCGGAGTTCCGAGTCCCTAGGCAAGTAAGCTACAATTTCCACATCTATCAGGCTAAAAGCTTACCATCGCGGCGTTTGTCCTCCTCGCAAGTCTGTTTGTGTCTTCTTTGCTTCCTTGCCCAATCGTGCAGCAGCATAGGGATTCTGCTTGCCCATAGTCTTCCGGTTGGGTAGATTCTTGGCTCGATCGATAATAGCGACCAAGGTACCGATAATAGGGCCATCGACGGAGATGTCAGCGAAGATGCCCGCCGCATGGTTGACCTTGGAGATCTTCGACATTGTCCAGGATTCTAATCACTGGGAATATTGAATCTAAACAGAAATTACCATTGACGCCAATGTCTAGGAGAAAGGAAGAAGAAAAGAGAAAAGATACCTCTTTGAATGTCCGAAGTGGGTATTGGAGGTGGCTGGGGTCGTATCAGATCTTGAGAATTGATTGGTTGTTACCCCTGGCGGTATCTGGACCGAGTGATGTACCATACCATGGATACAGAAACCTTGCATCCAAGTAAACAAGGAAACTACGATAACTTCACTTCATTACATTTCATTACACCTCATTACGATGTACATGTGTACGGAGGATATTCTCAACATCCTCATATATAGTGCAGTATATTGCAGTATATTGCATGATGCCATTTTAAGGCATCTCTACCCAACCCCAGTCAGGTATTCCACATGCAGTGGATCTCCGTCAGCTCGATCGGATCCCCAGCCACCGAGGATTCAGAGATTTGCGTATTTCCTGGTGGAACAATACGTAAATTGCCGACCATTGGGCGGTCCAGACAAGATCGTCATCCCCCTATACCTTCGTACTCCGTATTCTTGTTTGTGAATCCGGTTTCAGCTGCATTGGGGCTTCAATAAGCTGTCAAGCCGTCGCGGCTCCCCCACCTTTAGGGTTAGGGAGCTGCACCACGATGGATCTCCATCCCCCCACTGGATTACCATAGCGACCACTCACAGTCCTAATCATTTTGTGTACAATGTGAGTCGGATTCTAGGTATGCCCTTTTCTTTTGGTACTGTATGTCATACATTGGCAATATTACTGAGACTGTCTCGCTCGCCTGCTCTGCACACATTATCCCCTACCGACTCCAGATGCTTTTATGATTAACGATGTTGCCTGCCTCACTGCCTCGGTGGGTTTGCTGGGCAATCAATCCCCGCCAGGGTTACTATTATTAATATTACCAGATGGTTAGAAATGTGGAAGCCTACAATATACAACGTATATCCATAAGATTTCAAATTTATCTTTAGACGGGTTAATTAATGGGTAACGTTAGGCTTACAGAGTACGGGGTACTGGAGGGAAGATCTCTCGAGGTTGATCAACCATGACAGAGGCGACAGAGGCGACATATAACAGCAAGCATCAATACCTTGTACAAAATATATCACCTGAGAATTGAATTTGTCACCTATAAATTAAGAATGTTATGTAGATGGTCTACCAAGGAAAGTTGAGTGGCTCAGGGTATGGTTCTTGTCGCCTCAAGGAAATCAGAGGCAGAGAACTTGCAGTGGCTCGCTCGAATCCGAGAGGAAAAAAAGCATCAGTCTAGAGGTATCTTGTAAAACCATTCTTACTCGGGACTCGTCTCACAGGGAGTCTGATCTAGGCTCTGGCTGTTGTTGTTAGCCTGTCACATACCTTTGATGTACGGGCAAAGTCACATGTGTGCATGATGTCCGGTGGGTAACTAGTGCCAAGAGCTTTGTATCTGCCTTGTTGCCTCAGGCCTCAATCCAGAACCTGATGCCCCAGGCAACAAGAGCTACCGCCACCTTTCCCGATTGGGCGAGACGAACTTTTTTGATCGGCAGAAAAAAAGATGGTCTTCATGAACTTCACGATAGCACTCGAGTCGGCTTAACTTTACCACCCATTGCTCATCCCGGGCTACCTACCTAACTAATACCCCCCCGAACAACTACTGTCTATCCACCACTGCAACCATGGCGGCGCCCGTCCTGCCTCTGCAGCAGGTCAAGCTCGCCTCGTTACCCTCGACGCAGTTAACGCCCGAGCAACAATACTGGCGAACGTTCAAAAACCCGCTCCTGATCCCGTCTCCGGCCAATGGACCGGTAAATCTCATCACTCAGCCTTCCGCCCCTTCCTCTGCCGCGGCATTCCCCTCTCTTACACAACCTCCCGATGTCTTCACCGTGACAACGGGCGCACGAGTCCAAATTTATTCGATTCGCACGCGGAAACTTCTGAGAACACTCACACGATTTGACGATACCGTGCGCGGTACTGATGTTCGTCCGGATGGACGTGTCTTGGTGACCGGTGACGACACCGGTTCTGTGCAAGTTTTCGATGTCAAATCGCGCGCCATCCTCAAGACATGGAAGGACCACAAGCAGCCCGTGTGGGTGACCAAGTTCTCTCCCAGCGATCCTACTTCGGTCCTCACAGCCAGTGACGACCGTACAGTGCGGCTTTGGGACTTGGCATCGCAAACTAGTGCGCGCACTTTTGTCGGCCATAGCGATTACGTGCGCAGCGGTGCATTCATGCCTGGCTCAATGGCTTCTTCCGGTCTGGTAGTCTCAGGTTCTTATGATCGTACTGTTCGCCTCTGGGATCCCCGAGTTGGAAACCGTGCCGCTATGACGTTCAAGATGGGTGCACCGATCGAGACGATTCTGCCCATGCCCGCCGGAACTACAGTTTTGGCTGCGGCCGATAACAAGATTGCGGTACTGGATATTGTGGCTGGTAAGCCGTTGCACATGATCCAGAGCCACCAAAAGACTGTCACTGCCCTTGCGCTGGCCTCCAACGGTGAGCGATTGCTTAGTGGTGCGCTCGATGGACACATGAAGGTCTTTGAGACCACTGGGTGGAACCCCGTCTCCGGATCCAAATACCCGTCGCCCATTCTCTCTCTGCGCGCGATTACTTCCGGGACCGAATACGAGGATAAGCACATTGCTGTCGGTATGCAGTCAGGTCTTCTGTCTATCAAGACTCGGCTGTCTGGTCAGCAGAAGATCAAGGAGCGGGAACGCCGGAAGGAAATGGCAGCTTTGCTGGAGGGTAAATTGGAGGAGCATGACCGGGAAGTCGCTAAGAAGAAGAAGACCCGTGGCTCTGGGTGGGAAAAGCGCCTGCGTGGACGCGATTTCATCGGAGAAGGTGTGGAGATTGTCATTGAGGGCCAGGACCGTAAGAAGCGCAAGAGAGAGCAGCCTTGGGAGAACGACCTCCGTAAGGCACGCTATTCTGTTGCGTTGGACCAAGTCCTCACCTCGGCCGACAAGACTGCGCAACTTACACTGCTTACGGCACTGCGCCATCGCTCCGCCCTCCGTGCCTCTCTGAAGGACCGCGATGAGGTCACCCTCCAGCCCGTCCTGCAGTGGGTTCACAAGAACATCCGTGAACCCCGTCTGGTCGATCTCAGCGTCGAGGTCGCCATGAACCTTCTCGATATCTACTCTGGAAACCTGGGCCAATCCGCACAGGTTGACAAGATGGTGGAGCGTCTGCACCGCCGGGTACGTGATGAAGTGGAGATGGCCCAACAAGCGTGGCAAACAAAGGGAATGCTTGACATGTTGAAGGCAACCTGATCTGACGGCCTTGAATCGCAACTTGGAGTTTGGGGTGTCTGGGATTTGCACACTCGGTGTATATGGCGGGCCATCTTTTGTACAGGATTTGCATAAAGAATAAAAGTCGAACTATTTATCATTATTGACCGTAACATCGTTCAATTGTATTCTGACTGTGTATCAAGCATTCAACTTCGAGAATCCACTAGCAGGCGGCTGCAACCAATTCCGTGCATCATACTCCCACCCCTCCGCACCCTCAATAACATGGAAGGTATAAGCATACCGACTATTTAGGCTAGTATTCTTTTCGCTCTTATGCAAAACATTCCCATGAATGAGCACAAGGGATCCAGCCTTGATGTCAAGAATCTCCAGATCCTCATCTGTGGCCTCCGAACTCTTCTCCTCCTCCATGCTTTTGGGGAGTGAAGGTCCCCGATTCTCAATAAATTCCGTACCCGCACCGTTCTCCTTCCTCACAAACCTCCTAGCAATGTGACCACCCTTACTTCCCGTATGTGATCCCTTGTACATACCCAGCGTCCCATTCGCCGGTCCCGCATCCTGCAGCGCATACCACCAGCCGACGGCAGAGGGTGGATCCGTATACAAAAACTCGGAATCGCGATGGGACGGCACAGCCCCACCAATGGAGGGTTGCTTGCAGATAACCATACTCTGCAGCACGCGAGGGTCGGCGAATCCCAGGGACTGCGCGACAGCAGCGTTCCGCTCGTTAAGTGATATGGCCTTGAATGGAGGCGACAAGGTATGCAGGGAATGACCGATCTTGTTGACAGCGCGGTTTTTGGGCTTCAGTAGCGCGGCGCGGCCGGTCAATGGATCCGGCTCAGTACTGAACGCGTCTGGCTCGAAGAAAAAGCGAATCTTGTCGCCTGAGTTCAGGAAGTAGTCGTCGCCTACATGGTCGACGGTTTCGTCGCCCGTGGTGAACTGGGTGAGGGGGTGGGATTCTAGTGGAAACTCCTCGAGGAGTTTGTTTGTTTCGGCGAGGAGAGCGGTGACCTCGGTTGGGGTGAGGTAGTCTGGGAGGACGAGGTACCCGTTCTCCTTGAAGGAGGCGACTTGAGCTTCAGTAAGTCCAGCCATGAGGTGCTTTATGTTCCAAAGTTGAAGATGAGTTGGTTTCGATGTTGAAAAGCGGGGGAGAGGTGATAAGGCATTTTGATACGCCCAGTACCTTATCTAGGTCTTCATCCGTGCACCCAGCATCTATGGGCAACGTATACACGCTCAATATATGCTTCCTTTCCCCGGCTCAGTGCTCATGGTGTATCTCCAATCCCCTCGGCGACGCCGATGGGACTTTGCCTCTTCCATAGAGGCTAGTTGCCGCAGGAGGCAATGATGCAAGAGGCAAGCAAGGCTTGCCACAGGACAGGACAAGACGAACTATATAAACTTATCGGGATTGAGCAGGTTGGACTTCGAAAGCAATCAATACAACTTGTACAGTTCCGATGCCAACATTTTACACTGAGAAGCTTCTTCAAGCAAATCAACATCAAAACATTCTTCCAAAGGTTTAGTATCAACCTTCCTTTACCCAACTAGACAAACTCAACTGCAAATCACTCCAAGTGGACCAGATAAACCTTTTCCTCTCCCACATTCCACCGAGCGCGACCGTTCACCACGATGTCCGACTCTTTCACAAGTTCTTCGTACTA